TAAAATGAGCCTTTTGGGGTTAAAACGAGCCTTTTGGGGGCAGGAGGGGGCGAGCGGGCGGCCCGCCGTCCGCCCGGGCTGCTCTCGTTCGTGTCCAACCCCGATATTTCAAGTTGTGCGTTGCGATAACGAAAAGTGCAGTAATACGTTAAACCAGGTAGTTTGTGAAGGATTAATCCTTTGCTTGCTTCAAATCTGAACAGGAATCTCCACACAAATGCCCCACATGTGGAAGAACCTTTAATCAGAGAAGTAACCTGAAAACTCACCTTCTTACCCATACAGACATCAAGCCCTACAACTGTGAGCAGTGCGGCAAAGTGTTCAGGCGAAACTGTGATCTACGGCGGCACAGTCTAACTCACACCCCGCGGCAGGACTTCTAGAGCAGCCAGGGACCCGCGCCCGCTCCGGCGGCTCCAACTTGCCCATTTGACTCAAGGACTGTGCTGTGGGAGCTCACAGACACGCACACGCGGAGGGAGGGCACTCGGGGCCAAGCTTTCCCACCAGGCGCCTGCGAAACTCGTTTAGAGAGTGCGGACTGCAGGATCGGGCCCCTCTCCGACCCGCACCCAGGCGTAAAGCTCATCTTGTAGATACTCGCGGCTCATTTTAGAGCTCTGTACAGAACGTGGTTTTCTTCGTTTGTTTGTTTCGTATCGTCGTGTCAGATGCACATCGGTAACAAATCGGGGAGGCAAAGTATCTCTTAAAAGTGTATTTCAAAATAAATCTTTTTTTTTTTCCAAATACTTCCTGCCTTGTTGTATTATTCTCTGAACATTTGGGCTTTTTTTTCCCGCTGTGTCAATGCAATGGTAAAGCATATTGAATAAATTTCCTAGCCGGGTAGTTTTGCTGTCACAACAATTTTGGTGATCGCTTTTGTTTGGCCTGTTTCACTGTCGCTGTTGTGTTATCTATTGTTAAGTAAAATGAAAGTGCCGTACTTGGGAGTTTATAGCTCTATTACTTAATAGTATGAATGTCTAAATATTAACTTCTGTACTTTATTTTCCCGAACGAAATATTTTTTTTTTTCTAAAGAGGAGAAAGAAAGAAATACTTGCAAATAAACAGATCTTAGGAAATTATGCATAGAGCCGTTCTTACGCCAAAGCGGCTTATTAGTAACTTATTTGCAATCAGCCCACGTATTGTAAAAGTCATCCCTCTCGCGGAGATTGCAGAGGGCAGCCTCCCGCCGGTAGACTTTGGACACGGGCAATTCACCCGCGCAGACAGGGACTTTATCCTGCAGAAGACGATTCTTGCCCGACAGCTCTGGAAGCAAACAGCGAGGCGCGAATACCGCCC